AAAGGTGCTGGAACTATCCAGAAAAATGAATACTGACTCATACTTTGCACTACATACAAAAATCAACTAGAAATGGATCACAGATATAAGAAAACACTGGAAATTATCTATGTAACTTGGGTTATACAAAAACTTCTTAGGATAGGACACAAGCATGAACAATAAAAGAAAGAAATGATAAACTGGAGTGGAACTCATGAGAATTTAAAACTGCTTTTGTATGACACTGTCAAGAAAATGAAAAGATAAGCGATAGACTGGGAGAAAATACTTAAAAACTCTCCAAAAAATAAACATTAAAAAAGTTAAACAAAACAAAAACAAAAAAACCCATACAGACAATATAAAGTGCGGGTGAAGATGAAGAGCACCCTGAACTCTGATATATCAAAAGTAGGAAGACAAAATGGTACAATCACTTCAGAAAACAATTTGGCAGTTTTTTGTAAAGATATTATAAAGTTTTGCATTTATGTACAAAAGTTTTGTATTTACACAAAAGAAATAGAATACATGCCCACATAAAGATGTGCACATGAATGTTTATAGCAGCATTATTGTAACAGGCAAAGACTGGAGACAACTCAAAGGTCTATTCACTGATAAATGGATGAAAAAACAAAGTGATGCATCCGTACAATTGATACTACTCTATAATAAAAAGGAACAAACTACTAACATATGCTATAAATTTCAAAAGCATTATGTTAAATGAAAGGAGCCTGGGACAACAGCTACATTCTGTATAATTCCATTTATAGGACATTTTGGAAAAAGCAAAACTATACAGATGAACATCAGATCAGTGGTGTCAAGGTTTTGGGATGTGGGAAGAGAACTGACTGCTGGAGACAATGTTTAACAGTGATGGAACTGGTCAATATCTTGATTGTGGTAGTTCTATTATTAAAGTCATCATATACTTAGGGTGAATTTTAGGGGTGCTTGGGTGGCTTAGTTGGTTGAGCGTCTTATTCTTGATTTCAGCTCAGGTCATGACCCCAGGGTAGTGGGAGGGAGCCCTGTATTGGGCTCTGTGCTGAGCATGGAGCCTGCTTAAGATTCTCTCTCTCTCTCTCTCTCTCTCTCTCTCTCTCTCTCTCTCTGTCTCTCTCTCTGTCTCTTTCTGTGCCTCTCCCACACACTGTGTGTCTCTCAAATTAAAAAAAAAAAAAAAATATTTTTTTTTTTTTTTTTTTTTAAGAAAAAGGGTGAATTTTATTGAACGTGTTATATCCCCATAAACCTGACTTAAACTGTTTAGCTTTCCACTGGTAGTCAAAACTCTTCACTATCTTCCTAACATATCTCAGTTCACCTAACAATCAGTTCACTCACCCTGATTCATCGGCTAAATAGAATAACTTAACTTTGTTGTTATTAACAACAACAGCAAAAGCAGTAGCATTCAACATTTACTGGAAACTTGCTATAGTCAGACACATGATAAAAGAAAAGCACCCCATGTATATTATCTCATTAATCCTCACTATAACCTTTTGAGGCTCTATTATTTTCCCAATTTAAAGACAGAAACTGAAGTCAAGGAAATTAATAATTTTTCCAAGGTGCTTCAGTGGCAAATATGTGACAAACATTGAATTTGAACTTAGGTCTACCTGACTCCAAAACCCTGACACTAAACTTCCTCCTTATGATTCTTACCTACATGCTGTTACCTCAGAGTATCTCTTTTTTTTTTTTATTTTTATTTTTATTTATTTATTTATTTATTTATTTTAAATTTTTTTTTTCAACATTTATTTATCTTTGGGACAGAGAGAGACAGAGCATGAACGGGGGAGGGGCAGAGAGAGAGGGAGACACAGAATCGGAAACAGGCTCCAGGCTCTGAGCCATCAGCCCAGAGCCTGACGCGGGGCTCGAACTCACGGAGCGCGAGATCGTGACCTGGCTGAAGTCGGACGCTCAACCGACTGCGCCACCCAGGCGCCCCGACCTCAGAGTATCTCTTTACCTCAACTTTATTTGCCCTAACCATGCCTATCTGTACGAGCAAAACTTACATGCATGCCACATCCCTAAAGCTTTCCCAGATCTCCCTCCTCAGCTGGCAACCATCTCTTCCAAAGCATTAAAAGCTTCAATAGCACAAAGTCGATTCCTTACTTGTGGCACTTTACATATTCTATTTCCTGTTAAAATTATCAATATACTTTTCCTATTGGATATTTTACTATTTGAGGGACAATGCTGAAGACTTCCTAACCCTTATGTATCCTGGTTACTTAACACAATTTAACTTCCTGAATGAATGAATAAGTGAAGGCTGGGACATTAGTTTAGTCAGTAGTACAATTACATATTAATGATTCATTCTACCCAAGCAATGGTACCACTACTTATTAGCTTCTTAGAAAGAGCCTATATTACTGTGTTATCCTTCTTTCTCCAAATAAAATTTTCAGATAAGAAAATAAAAAGCTAAAATTAAGAGGCTAACCCAACTCAAACATTGTCTGGTATTTCAGTATGAATTAAAAACAGAGCTAAACTCCTGGGCAACACATGAAGCAAATAGAGCAGGGAAGGACAGAGAGACATGTTAGTACAGAGAGAATGTAACAGGTCAAGGTAATGGGAGAAGTAGTTAGTAGGAAAGATAGTAGTGAAAATACTAAGTTGCAAAAGTCTAGGCACATTCTTAACATTAAAAATAATGGGGAGCAGGATATTTAAACTTTATAAAAGATGTAGGAAACATAGTAGCTAAATGTACTGTGTAGACTATGTAGAGAAGCCTCTGTTCAAACAAGTTATTGAAAAAAGACATTTTGAGACAACTGATAAATTTTAGATAAGAATAAATATTAGATGATATTAAGGAATTATTGCTAATTTTGTTAGGTATGATATGGTAGCATGAATATTTAACAAAGGGTCCTTTGGTTTTAGAAATACATACTATGTAGGGATGAAGTATCGTAATGCCTCACATTTATTTTAGCAAAAAAAGCAAGATATGACTATTAAATATAGGTGATAAATATTTGCAAAGTTCATTAAATAATTATTTTTTATCAAAAAATTAAAAATTAAAAAATGAATAAAACTAATTGCCACAGGAAAATGTCTAGCCACAGTCCCAGTTCTTGGTAAAAACAAACAAAACAAAAAAACAAACAAAACTCTGTATGACCAAAATGATAGAATAAAGTCAAGGTTTTAAGAGTACTGGCACTTTTTTGGGTTTGCTTCATTATATTCCACAGCTTATTCCTAATTCCACTATTTAACATTGTTAGGTGTTTGCAGTCCTCTGCCTTGTTAGATGGTAAACTTTTTGTTAAAAATTATTTTTCCTCCAGGTTTTTATTTAAATTCCATTTAGTTAACATACTGCATAATATTAGTTTCAGGTGTAGAATTTAGTGATTCGTCACTTACATACAACACCCAGGGCTCATCACAAGTGCCCTCCTTAATACCCATCACCTATTAACCCATCCCATGCCCACCTCCTCTCCGGTAACAGATGGTAAACTTCTTGAGAGTAGTCACATTGTTATTTATTGACTTATGGTAGACATAAGAACGCCAAGTATCAAAAAGCAAAACTGGTGAAACAGAACTGCTTTTGAATTTAGTTACTACTTGGCAACCATAAAGAAAATCAGAGAATTCCTAAACAATATTTCTTCTCCATACAAAACTAGAAACTAATTTAACAGGTAGGACATAATACAGGTATGTTTGCACGTGACTATAAATTCTTTAAGCTTCTTAAAAGCATAAAACATCTAGGTTATCTATCAGCCACCTCAGACATTCTCAAAGTGCAGTCTGGGGACGCCTGGGAGTCAGATACTCTTTCTAGGAAACTGTGGACTAAAATCCATTTTCATAATAATACTAAAATGTTACTTTTTCACTCTCATTCTCTCATGATTGCAGAGTAGGGATTTTTAGAGGAGTTTTAACAATGTCATCATTCTGATGGCCAATGGAATGCGTGTTTGTGTATTCTTGTGTTTTAAATTTTTCTTAGTTTTAACGTCTAATATGGTACTTACTGATTGGTACAATTTGCATAAATAAAAGCTGTTTGAGGTCGTTGATTATTTTTAAGAGTGTAAAGAGGTGTCTTACAACCAAAGCATTTGAGAACTATTAAACAAATGCAATCTTATTTTCCAAGCTCTCTTTCCCCACTGTCACCTTTAAAGGTGCAAGTACGTCTGTATCTGTGAATGGATGCCATTTTATCTTGCACTTTTATGATTTTCATGTGCCTGCTGCTCCTGCCATCTCAGAATCCTGAAGAATGCAAATAGCAGAAAAGCATACCAAAGTGCCTCGTTTGATGATTACCCTAAACATACTCTTGGGCAAAACATATAAACTAAATAAACCTTCAAAATTTCAAGTTATGAAATTTCTGCTTTGTCGCTAAGACAGGTGTTAAGGAACTTAGGAAAAGAAAACAGTGAAGGATAGAGCAAAAGTGACTAGGGCTGATTAAGTAACATTTTTCTGGAAATACTCTCCAGTGTAATAAAGGATTCATTGGAAACCAATACTTCTTTTAATGATCTATTAGGAATGGGAAGCAAACAAGAAACGGATATTGAAATTGATTATCTATGAGGGAAATAATATAGCACCTCAGACTTTGCCATTTCAGTCTGGAAAATAAAGAATATACTTTCCCACAAATAACATATTTACTTTTTTCTCTATTTTGAACTTTGTTCTCCCAATTCTATCTCTGGAAGGCTTTCAGACTAAAATCTAGTTTGAAGAAGCTACATATTTGTCAATGTAGCTAACATAAAATCACTTCTGTAGAGAGTTTCTATCATTCTTAAAATAATCTCCCTCCTGTCCCCTCCCAACCCCCTAGGAGATGACTATCCACTGTTGGGCAATCTGAACAATTTACTGAGTTTTTCTAAACCCTGAGGAATTTGATTGGCTAGACAACTGTGAAAAGGCACAATGCCTTTAAACATCGCCTAATAGTTTCCATAAATCATTACCTTGGATAACAGCTTGTCAAATAAGCTATCCATTATCGCTACAAGCTTAGCTGATATTTCAGCGATGTGGTCATGGTAGTCCTGTAATGAGACAGAATATTAAAGTCCCTGGAACACATCTAAAAAATATTTACCAATTAAGGAATTAAATTTACGAAACTTCAGTAGAAAATACAATGAAAAGTACCTTAGTGATATGATCAAAATGCCTAAGCATGCTATACTGCTTAGGCTGTAGTCGAGCTTCAAAATGAGCCCGGATCACAGGAATGTAGTGCACAATTAACTGCAAACAACGTGAAGATAGAGCTGAAGATCCAGGCAGTGGATACATCACGGAGAAACAAAAAAGAGAATTAGTTTACTTTAATTATATATCAAAATAAATTTTAAAATGTCAATTTCATACAGACCCCAGTTTATTTCATAAATGAAGAACACAGTGGCAGAAAGCAACATTATTTCACTTAAATAATTTGGTACTGAATAATGTAGTAAACATGCTGCTTTTCCCAATGACCTCAGTTGTTAGTATTACTGACATGAGGAAGCTAATGGGAAAACGGATTCTCTTGTGACATTCAGATATCTTTCACCTCAAAGCACCTCATACACATTACATCCTAACATTTTCTATAGTGGTGCAACTTCCAAATAACTTATACTCGTTAGAGTGGAAATTCCTCATAACATTTCCCCAGAAGCCAATTTTTCAATCATGGTAATACATCGAACAGTGAAATAACTTTAGAGTCTTTAAATTAGAGTCATAAAAACATCAGGTGTACTAAAAACACAATGAGTATAGCAACATCATCGTAAAATCTCAACATGTGAGTTAAAAACAAGAATCCATACCCAAATTTTTTGTAGTTATTGTTTTTAATCCAACAACTTGCAGTGCACCAGCTCCAAGAACTAACTGGCAACTTCTTGAATTGAAGTACTAACAAAGGAAGGAGAAAGAAAAAGCCCGACAATTTATCAAAAACTGTTCTGTATATGCTGGCAATGTGTTTATTTACAGTTCTAAAACTACATTCCTCTTTCCTCTCATTCAAGGACCAAATGAATTTTCTAGTAGGAGCAACTAGGATCTATTTACGTAATGACAAAAAAGAGGCGAGGGGTATTCCTAAATGATAATATTTATTGTCCGGTAGGAAAAAAGTAAAATTCTAAAAATAAATTGTTCAGAAATTCTTTAGTCTGCATTCATAAAACTAGCTCAGTTTCACTGAAACTAACATAACACTATATGTTAATTATACTTCAATTAAAAAAAAAACTAGCTCAGTTTCTGCATTCTTATCGGAGGGTCCTATTTTCAAAAGGGTAACAAAATCTTTCTGGACTAAAATATGACAACTCAATTTGGGGGAAGAATTAACTGATTAGACATTTGAAAAGAAGCCTTTTCTTTATGCTAGCAGTTAAAAAAATCTGTTAAAATGAAATGGCTGAATAAGATTATCACCACATTTTCATTTTACATCAATGGTTCTGAAAGAATGATTTAAGAAAAATCTCTAACCTTAGTGAGATGAATTTTGTAAAGTTCAGTGAATTCCTTCCATGCACATTTGAAACCAGTCCAGGTTTTTTGACCTAAGTGGCCTCAGTCATGTTCAGCACCTAACGAACAAATCATCTCCTGTCTCCAATGTCATTAACAACTCTATGGGTATAATGAGGAATCACTAAATGCGAAGTGAGAAGGAAGTAGGTGGCCTTCTTCCAGTAACATGTTGTGATTCAACCACAATCAAATGTACAAAATTAATGTCTTAAAGAAAACTTAACCTTGAAATGTCTCAGAATTTGAAGATTAGTCATACTCTAATGAATTACTTCTTCCAACTATTTTTCCATCACAGTGAAATCATACACACCTTCAATAAATCTGACAGACGAGTAAGCATGTCAGTAGTAACAGATGGGATATTATCCACACACTGGCAATATTCAAGGATAATTCTTATCAACAGCAATACAGTTCTATAAGAAAAGAAAGATGACCCAACACGCAGTCAAAACAAGAGAGTTAAAATGATTCAGCACATAAAAATCAATACTGATCTTGGTAACTGAAATTATGTGTTTTACATATAAGTGCAGCAGAGAGGGATTGAGGTGAGGCAAGAGAGATTTCTAGGGTGCAAAATTAAGGAGGAACTCATTTTCAGGGTCACACAATTGCAGGGCCAGCACTTGCATGACATTGAGAATGAGTACTTCCTTAAGTTTTGTGCTCTGGCACATCACTCTCTTATGTCACATTCCTATTAAGTCTCTTCAATAAGGCAGATATCCCATTCCTTGGCCAATTCAGAAACACTGACAAAAGTCCTACCCAGGATTTCTGAATAATCATAATAATAGTAGGTACTCAATCCTAAGTGCTGAATTAATGACAGGCACCTAATCATGACTTTCTTAGTGAGATGAAAGAGCAACTGTGGCTTCTAAGAACAATGGTATCTCCTAAGAAGTTTACCGGTAAGTCACAAAAGGTTTTCCAAAGACGAGAAAGTTACCAGCTCATTAGCTGGGCATGTCATAGATTAAAGAGAGACACTACTAGGAGCTTAAATAAGATTGAGGTTAAGGTAAATAGAGCCATTCATTATAGGACATCTAAGTTCAATGAGAGGCTTAGAAATGAGTGATCCGGGGCGCCTGGGTGGCGCAGTCGGTTAAGCGTCCGACTTCAGCCAGGTCACGATCTGGCGGTCCGTGAGTTCGAGCCCCGCGTCGGGCTCTGGGCTGATGGCTCAGAGCCTGGAGCCTGTTTCTGATTCTGTGTCTCCCTCTCTCTCTCTGCCCCTCCCCCGTTCATGCTCTGTCTCTCTCTGTCCCAAAAATAAATAAACGTTAAAAAAAAAAAAAAAAAAGAAATGAGTGATCCATATAAAATAATGTTTTATGAAAGTCTGAAGGATACCAGGAAGTAGTGATTCAAGAAGGAGTCTAGCCTTTATAACAGCTTAATTATTCTCCATATTATTCTCCATGCATATTTCCAGTATCTGCTTTACTGGGCAGGGGTTCACTATTTATCTTTTGTAGTCTTCTCTCAGAAGATAAAATATTTTCCCTTTAGCCAGAGAGTTCAATTTTGGGGAGCCGTCTCTTTGCCTAAAGAGCCAGAAAGCCAGAGGTGACCAATGCCATCAAGCAAGAATAACAAGATAATGGGTAATTAAGGAGAGAAATCATAATTAGATTGAAGGGATAAGATTATAAGGTTGAAAAAATCTTTGCCCTACTAGAAGCAGAAAAGAACTCCAGAGGAGGAAAAAAAGGGAAGCTTTCATTCGCGAAGGGTATAGTGTCAGATTTCTGGATAATACAGACTGAGAAAATGCATCAATTCAATACATACTTTTTGATTATTTATTGGGTACAAAGTAAAATATAAATGGTAAGACATCACCATCTTTAAGGAACTCAAAACTAACCAGGGAGATATATACATAAATAATTTTAATATACTGAGAAAAGTGCTATTTTAGAGGCACATGGAGTCTCAAGGAAAAGATCAATCATTCCTCCTGGAGGGGGTGTGTATTTCAGAAAAGATTTATACAGTGATAAGAAACAAAAGGGAAAAAGAATCTTGGTCTTGATCTTGGGAGCTAGACCTTGACTCTAATCCTGACTCCATTTGGGTCATTTTATATCAACCACTTAAACTTCTGAGGATCAATTCTCTTAACTGTAGAAAGGAAACAATAATCCCTGAAGTGTTTATTTCACAATGTGGTTGTAGATTAAAAAGATTGTTGCTATGAAAATACTTAAATTATGAAGTGCTATTAAAGAATATTAAGATATTATTTTAACTACCCATTTAAAAAATGGCATGTAGTACTAGACAAACAAAACTGGAATTTATATTTTCCTTAGTTAACTGGCATTTGAAATACTGTCATTGGTAAAAAAGACCTAATGACAAATGATAACAGAAATAAGTGATAACAACTATCAACTTATTAGGTGCTAGAACTATGCCAAATGCCTTATATGAGTTATATGTTTAATTCTGTAATAGTTCTTAGTACTATTTTCACGTTTTGATTTACAGATAAGAGAACTGAGGCACACAGAGTAACCTGCCCAATGTCACAAAGAGTTAAGAGAGCTTCTGGGATTCAAACCTAAACAATGTGACTCCAAAGCCTGCACAACTTCAATTATATGCTATAACACTAACAAGGCTTCAGAAAAAGAAGACAGAAAGAGCCTGAAATATTAATAACACCATAAAGCCAGTATTCCACCCTTGGGTTGTATACCTCCACATTTCTTATTATACGAAAAAATTTATCAACCCATTTCTTGTAAAGCCAGCAGTGTAGTCCCTAATTTAAGATATAGAATACTACAAAATATAGAAAATGGAGAGGAATCCATAAAATATCCTTTAAATTATTTTTAAAATTTAAAATTGTTGGGGCGCCTGGGTGGCGCAGTCGGTTAAGCGTCCGACTTCAGCCAGGTCACGATCTTGTGGTCCGTGAGTTCGAGCCCCACGTCAGGCTCTGGGCTGATGGCTCAGAGCCTGGAGCCTGTTTCCGATTCTCTGTCTCCCTCTCTCTGACCCTCCCCCGTTCATGCTCTGTCTCTCCCTGTCCCCAAAAAATAAACGTTGAAAAAAAAAAATTAAAAAAAAAATTTTAAATTGTTAATCTATGGGGCACGTGGGTGGCTCAGGTGGTTGAGCATCTAACTCTTCATTTTGGCTCAGGTCATGATCTCACAGTTTCTAGATTCAAGCCTCACGTGAGGCTCTGTGCTGAGAGCGCAGAGCCTGCTTGGGATTCTCTGTCTCTCCCCCTCTCTGTCCCTCCCCAACTTGCAAACATTCTCTGTCTCAAAATAAGTAAATGAAAAAAAACGTTAAAAAACTAATAAAAAAAATTATTAATCTAAAATTTCCAATTCACATCAAGGGGGAACTAGAAGACCTATGTTTTAAATAACTGACTCAACTAATAAAGAAAAATGTGTCACTCACCCAACGACAGCATATTGTTGTCCCTCTACAATGAGAACTTCAGCTGGTTTTCTTTCTTCTGTAACTAGAGAGTAAAGCATATAACAAAGAGAGACATAGGAACAAGACTAAACAAATTATTAAAGTAAAAATTTAAACTAGGAAAAAAATGAAGAAGATAGTTCCAATTTAGGGCTGGTAGGGCTGGAAACTATCTTATATTCAAAAACAAATGTCTCCTTCTTAGGAAGCAATTTGGCACGGAATAAAGTATATTGGGTTTGGAATCAGAGAAATATGGATTTGAGTTCCAGTACTGCCAATCACGGATGCAAGAACTTGTGCCAATTAGTTAACTTCTTTCAGTGTCAACGTCTGTATCCATTAAACATGGATAACGGAAACTATCAGTGTTTTTGTTAACAACAGAGATCATGACTACAAACTGCCGATCCTAGGTCTGCCCTCTGGTAGATGATCAGTGAGTAAAAAAAAAATAATATATTAGTTTGGAAAGGCAGAACTAGAATTTCAACTGGTTGTCTATATTATAATTCTTAGATTATAAACTAATTCCTATACTCAATAGAGAGATATAATTTTCAAGACTTCAGTCCAGAAATTATTTTCAGCATGTGGTATTTCTTACCATTATAAAACAAAACTCAGCATGTTGAAGTGAAAAGTAGAGTAGACTGGATTATTGTTCTTAATCAGCCAAATTATTTGGATTATCATGGGCCCATTATTATGCTTCCCCAAGCCTCAAGTCCCTTTGACTTGACATTAAATATCTACTTCCTCATTTCCTTCAAGGAAAGAAATTCAGTGTGACACAATTTCAAATCCCTAATCTGTATACCAGATTAAATTTTTGAAGATAGGGACTGTGTCTTAACCACTTCTCTACATTACAGAGAAAACGGCAGAGCATAGTAGTGAAAAGAAAGGGCCCTAAAGTCAGTCTGCCTGTATCTGGAACTCAGCTCTACCACTTCCTAGCTCTGTAACCTTAGGCAAGTTGCCTGATTTCTTTGCGCCTCACTTTCCATATTTGTTAACTGGGAATACTAACAGTATCTAGTTCACGGGCCTATAAATAAGAACGCAATGTGCTGAGAACAAACTGTCTAGCCTTAGGTAAGCATTCAATTAATATTAATTGCTATCCATTAACTTTCATTTCCCCAATGCCTAGACAAGTAGCTAGTAACTCATTAATGAATGGTGGTCAATGAATGAATAATAACCAAGTATCCTTAACTTGGTAAGAACAAGTAAAATGGTGATGGACTTCTAATAGCATGTACTTTCTCACTCAGAGGAAAAAATAAAAGTCTGGGACAGAAATAGAGTTATAAAAGAAACCTCTTATCGTTAGTATCCTCCAAAGAGAAAGTAAAAATAAACAGTTCACTTTGGGGGTAAAAAAAAAGACACATGGTTAATTCAATCACTCTATATCATTTTAGTTAAAAAATTGTTATGCTTGCATGAGAATGGATTGTAAAACTTTGAGCTGTTCAGGACAAAAACCGTCATTGTCATCTAGCACAGCAACTCACAAAGTGGTAAGTCATCAAATATAGCTTGAAAGAATAAATGAGAGATAAATCTTATAATTTTAAATCGTGATTTAGAATAATCAGTGTTTTTCTTTCAATCTTTGCTACCTGAATACTTTTGCTTTGCTAATATCTTAAAATCAATTAAGATTATGACCGCCACCCAACACTGTTACCTACTAAAAAATGGTCACTAGGCAACAGAAATCTAGTTAATTCATTCAATTCTTCTCTCTGCTCTATATGACCTACTCTATTTTACACATGTCCTTAACCCCTCCTCTCCTGTCACAGTGTGAGAAGAGATAGCCTTTCTCAACTCTGGATTTAATTCCAGAGGCCCTGCCTTACAATCACTCTGCGCCACTCTTCCACTCTTATCTTTAACATTCTTTCTCTTTCTGTTAAGCACAAAAATATAATTCAGCTTCTCCTACCTTAAAACTCTTCTCTCAACTCCCTGAGTGGATTAAAATAATAATCTAATTATTCTCCTAGGTTTCTAGTGCTACTTCATCATGCACTTGCCCTTCACAAACAAACCTGTCGAAAAAGGAGGCTACATTTGTTTACAGGTCCTCACCTTTCAAATTACTTAGCACTGAACTACAGTCTGATTCTGTCACTCTACTGAATTACTAAAATTGCAAATGACCTCCTCCATGTCAAACTAGTAGTCACTATCTGTATTTTACTCAGTCTTTCTCTTGTAGTGCAGTCACATTTGGTGCAAATTTAAAAATATTTCTATGTAAAAATATTAAAATTTCATGAAATGCATAAAATTTGAAAATGCATCTGCCTCCTCCATTTAAAATATTCAACAATTGGGGGGTGCCTGAGTGGCTCAGTCAGTTAAGCGTCTGACTTCAGCTCAGGTCATGATCTCGCAGTCTGTGGGTTCGAGCCGTCTCTTATCAGGCTCTGTGCTGACAGCTCAGCTGTCTCCCTCTCTCTCTGCCCCTCCCCTGCTCGTGCTGTCTCTCCCTCTCTCAAAAATAAACAAACATTAAAAATATTCAACAACTGGGGAGCCTGGACGGCTCAGTCAGTAGAGCATGTAATCTTCATCTCAGGGTAGTAAATTCAAGCCCCATGTTGCATATGGAATCTACTTAAATTTTTTTAAATTAGAAAAAAAATATTTGATAGTCTCACAATTTTAAATATGGTGTTATAGGATAAGTTGTACTTAAGTTTACCTACATTATTATCATGGGACAGCTCTACTTTAACTGGCATACAAAAGTATCTTCCAGCTATTGTATTTCTTTTAGATGAAACCCAACAGGCATTTGATACCAATGAAAATTCTCTTCTTGAAACTCTAATTTTTTTACTTCTATGTTCTTCTGGATTTCTTCCTACTTCTCTAGCCTTTCCTTCTGAGTTTCCTGCATAGTTTTCTTTTTCTACAGTTTTTTACATTTTGGTTTTCTCTATCATATCACTACTGCATTAACTGTGATTGCTAATCCACATTTTTTTTATTAGACTCAGCCCTTTTATTTTTATTTTTTAAGTAGGCTTCAGGCCCAGCACAGAGCCTAATGTGGGGCTTTAATTCACAACAACAAGATTAAGACCTGAGCTGAGATCAAGAATCAGATGCTTAACAGACTGAGCCACCCAGGTGCCCCTAGACTTAGCCCTTTGAAAGTAGAATTATAACTGTTATCTCGGTCTCAATATCTAACACAGAGTAGAAGCTTATTAGTATTCAGTGAATGAATACGTGTCTTTAAACAATACAGTACAGTGGTTAAGAACATAGCTATGAAATTATTATAAGGCAGGTTTCAAATCTCAGCTCATCATTTGTACAGAATTCTTTAACCCCTGGAAGCCTTATGCCTCCTTGCTGTTAAACAAGGTAACAATAGCATCTTCATCAAAGGTTGTTATGGGGATGTACTAGAATAATACATGTAAAAGCACCTGGCCCAGGGTCTGGCATATGGTTAGCAATCAATAAATATCTGAAATTATTATTACAAATTATCATACATAACTTTTCCAGTCAATTGAGGCAGTGTCAATTAAAGAAATGTTAAGCATTCCTATAAAATGAATAAACAGTGTAAAACTGGAAGACAGCACGTGAAAGAATACACATACCCCCTGACTTTTTTTCAGGTAAAGCAATCTTTCCATCTGATATAGAATCAACAAGATCCTGAAATTCTGCAGGAACATCAGCTTGCTTCCAGCGCTCATTGTCTAAGAGGAGGCTATTCAAAGGGGGAGAAAAAAGGAAGATAAACTTTAACAATATTTCAACAAGGCACTTGGTTGACTCAGTCGAATGAGCATCCGACTCTTGATTTTAGCTCAGGTCATGATCTCACGTTTTGTGAGATTGAGCCCTGTGTCAGGCTCTGTGCTGATATTTCAACACGATCTTCTTTGGTTAAAAAGAAAAGAGTTGAGTGTGTATGTAAGACTTTTGTTCTCATATCTTTTAGTAATAATAAAGACACTATATGTATCTTAGTTAAATTCAAGTAGATCTCATGTAAACAAGGCATTGACTTTTAAACAGTAATGGCCACTAGCTGTTATTAGTACTAAGATTTTTAAAATAAATGTATACCTTAATAAACTGAAATCATTCATAATGAGTACTTTCAGAAAATATTTCTTTTTATATCTCTTAGCCTATCCAAGAAGAGTAATGAAACATAATTAACTTCACCACTGAGTGGGAAAAGAAAAGCCAATCTATTGAGGATCTTTGTGACAAGTAAATAAACATTCTAATTCCACTTTGGAAAGCTGAGAAATGGGATTTTAATTCCACAGTCTGCCTTTAGTGGAAAATAGGTTTTTTAGGGGTTTTGGTTAACCAATCAATTAAATATAATCATGTTTTGTAAAGGAAAGGGAAAAAACTGAAAAGCAGAATGAACATGGTAATGATACCTCAGCTTAGTTTTTCTCTCTTCATGAAACCTGTTTACAAATTTATTAGCTTGGCTCTGAAGTGCTCCAAGTAATGACATGCTTTTTCTTCCACAGATGTGTTCAGTATCTAAAATGAATGTTTCCATTAATCTAGAAAGTGTTATGAATTCCGTGGAATTTAGCTTCTCAAGAAAACCATCCTAAATTTTAAAGATAACACAAAAATCATGACAGAGAATTAGGAATAACATCAAATATGAACAAGCTATAAAACAAACTTAGTTTGATATGTTACTATTAATTATTTTAATAATACATATTAATTCATGAATATTATCTTAACATTATTTTTAATGAAATTTCTCAATACCTCAGTCCCAGAAATTGAACATTAAAAACTTAAAATGTCCAAATTTTACTCTGATTCCTTTATAATACAGTAGCTCAAATAAATTCAGGTCATACTATAAAATTTTCACAATATTGGAATTCAACTAATTTTATTAACATATTGGCCAGTTATACACACATATATGGTGTGTGTGGGTGTATATATACATATACATATACATACATATAAAATAGCATATTAACGTCAAATTAATTAAGGTATCATATTTCAAAATTAAGTCTTTTAATAATTTTTTTCAAAGAATAATAGATTTTCCTATTTCTTTCATTTGGATTATTTTACATTTCAACATCTCCCTAACAGGCCATACCAGTACCATTAACTTTATTAAGTATTTAAAATATAATATGATGGGGCACCTAGGTGGCTCAGTTAACCATCCGACTCTTGATTTTTGGCTCAGATCATGATCTCACAGTCATGAGATCGAGTCCCACTGTCAGGCTCTGCACTGGGTATGGAACCTGCTTAAGATTCTCTCTCCCTCTCCCTCCGTCCCTCCCCTGCTCATGCTTGTGCTCACTCTCTCTCTCTCTCTCTCTCTCTCTCTCAAAAAAAAAAATATATATATATATATACATACGTATATATGTATATGTATGTGTGTGTGTGTATATATATATATAAATACATAATATGCATTATGGGGAACATAGGGACACAAGCAAGGATATGATTCTAGATCTTCAAAATAATTATACTATATATAAAATATCTAAAGCTTTATCAAACAATTAACCTTTGCTCTTGACATGAGAAACTTGACGGCTCGATCATGGCATATATCTGAGGCACTATACAATAACTCCTGGATATTATTTGCCAGTTTTTCTAGCTCTAAATCAGTTAATTTCATGTCTTCATTGACCCTGAAAATGATAAAAAAGAGATCAAGTCAGGGGAAATTGTGAGTACACTGTCTCCACAGGTAGCATATCAATAAAAAACAAAAAGCTATAAAATTTGCATTTGAGGAAGAATTCTGTAACGTATCAAATGCTTTTTTTGTGTGTGGTGAATCATTACTTAAATAAGCTTGGATAATACAAATATTTTACCCTAATCTTATATAGAAATAATTTTCTCTCTCTGCTGTAGCATGTTCCATACTTATTTCAGACTCCAAGTGAAAATTCTGCAAAAACTACAGCAAAAATAAAAAATTCTAGTTAGGTACAAGGTGGTAGCTTTGGCAGGCTGTACACAGGGTGCTTAAAATGACACACTGGAAGGAGGAAGAAGGAAGATTATTTCATGAAAAATAGGCACTTTTTTTTTTACTTATAATTATGAATGATAGTTAATATTCAGTTCAACTGAACTAATATTTCCTGAGCACTGTACTAGAGAGGACACAACAGGTCGCTGTCCTCAAAGAACTGACAAACAGAAATATGTATAAGACGAAATGTATTTTTTCCAGTTTTGAGAAGACTTCCTGTTTTTAAACATTTGTTTTTCTTGAGGCATGTATAAAGACCACTGATTCCATACCAACAATTCAATGCAGTGCTATTATGAACCAAGTTTAAGTGCCTTTGCATCATTTCTCTCCCTTTCAATAGAATTAAAATAATTTTCAAAGGTCTTACAAAGAGAATCTGATGTATGTTAATTTGAGGCAAACCACTACCCTAACTGGGTTAAGGTATTAAGGGAAGTTATTGCCTGCTATCCTTCAAAATTATAATATCATTAAATTTATTTACTGATGCTTTAAAGTAATAGAGGGAGGAACACCTGGCTGACTAAGTCAGTTAACATTTGACTCTTGATTTCAACTCCGGTCATGATCTCATGGTTCATGAGACTGAAGCATGCCTTAGGCTCCACACTGACAGCAGTAGAACCTACTTAGGGTTCTCTCTCCCTGTCTCCCTCTGCTCCTCCCCAACTCATGCTCACTCTCTCTCACAATAAATAAAAAATAAAATTAAAATTAAAAAATAAAATAAAGGATTAATATTCTTACTCTCAGAAAAAGCAACTCATTTGGTTCTCACACTCCTAAGACAGGTAGATAAATATCTACTTTAAGGATGAGGACACTGAATCTTTGAAAGTTTAAATGACCTACCCAAGGTCACAGGTTAAAGGACTAGAACCTAGAATCAGTCTAATTCCATTTCTAATCTGCTAAGCTTCCTCCACTCCAACATTTACTTCTATATAAATAGTCCAATGCTATTTCAATACCAACTCCCACAAAATTGTTTGCTTAAATTTTAAAGGTCAAATTTACAAGGTGCCTGGGTGGCTCAGTCTGTTGAGTGTCCGACTTGGGTTCAGGTCATGATCTCGCAGTTTGTGGGTTTCAGCCCCATGTGGGGCTCTGTACTGACAGCTCAGAGCCTGAATCCTTCCTCAGATTCTGTGTCTCCTTCTCTCTCTGCTCCTCCCTGTTCACACTCTCTCTCTCAAAAATAAATAAACATTAAAAAAATTTTTTTTAAATACAGTTCAAATTTACTACTGAAATAAAATTGCATTTTGTGAAGGATGTTTAAAATTTGCCCCCATGTAATAGAAAGATTAAGAACATGAAACTCTTGGCAATATGCTAGCAATTCACAAAGATTAAAAAAAACAGGGGTGCCTGGGTGGCTCAGTCAGTTGAGCGTCTGACTTCGGCTCAGGTCACGATCTCATGGTTCGTGTGTTCGAGCTCCGCGTCAGGCTCTGTGCTGACAGGTCAGAGCCTGAAGCCTGCTTGGGATTCTGTGTCTCCCTCTCTCTGCCCCTTCCCCACTCATGCTCTCTTTCTCTCTCAAAAGTAAATAAACATTAAAAAAAAAATTTTTTTTTAACAAAAAATAGCAGATAAAAACAACTCTCATATCTTTAAGTAGGGTGACCATCCAAAAAGATGGGAAGTTTGGTATTTTAAGAAAATCATTTAATTTAGTTATTTGTAATGTTGCTTTTTACAAAGAATTTTTTTAAGTCTATTTATTTATTTATTTATTTATTTATTTAGAGAGAGAGAGAGAGAGAGAGAAAGAGAGAGAGACAGACAGACAGCAGGCAGGGAAGGACAGAGAGAGAAAAAGAAACAGAATCCCAAGCAGGCTCCAAGCTGTCAAAGCACAGCCCAACACAGGGCTCAAACTCACCAACCGTGAGATCGTGACCTGAGCCAAATTCAAAAGTCAGATGCTTAACTGACTGAGCCACCCAGGTGCCCCTAAAAAGAATTCTAATTTTTTAAGTTTAATTGGATCTCTTTCACATTCACAGGAAAAAAAAAAAAAACTTTATAAAGATGATGTAGCATTTCTGCTTTTGGGTACATACAGAAAAGAACTAAAAGCAGGATCTCAAAGAGATTTGCACACCCACGTTCACAGTAGCACTATTCACAATAGCCAAAAGATGGAAGTAATCCAAAAGTACACCAACAGATGAATGGATAAAAACATGTGATGTATACATACAATGGAATATTATTTGGCCTTAAAAAGGAAGGAAATTCTCACACATACTACAACATGGATGAACTTTGAAGACAGTATACTAAGTGAATTGAGCCAATAACAAAAGGACAAATACTGTATAATTCCACTTATATGAAGTACCTAAAGTAGTTGAACTCACGAAGACCAAAAGTAGAAGGGTGGCTTCTGGGGGACAGGTAGAGGAAGAAATGGGGAGTTGTTGCTAAATGGGTATAGAGTTTTAGTTTTGCAAGATGAAAAAGGTCTTGGAGATTGGGTGCACAACAATATAAATATACTTACTACTACTGGACTGTGCATTTAGAAATGGTTAAGATGGTATATTTTGTTATGTGTTTTTCACCACAATTTAAAATAAATGTTTAAAAAAACCACAAAACTGTCTAATTCTTTCCATTATTTTTCTTTTCCCATTTCCTGCCTGGGAAATTATTTCCTCTTTTGTGCCCATATCTGCACTGCAGTTACCTTACAAAGGCTTGTGCTGAGACTACATAGAGAACTCCCATAAATCAGTAAGAAATGAACACAGCCCAGCAGAGAAGTGGGCAAAGAACTTGAATAGGTGCTTCACAAAAGAGAACATCAAATAGTCAATGAATATATGAAAAGTGATCTCTTACCAATGATCAGGGAAATCAAAAGTAAAACTAATATACCTGCAACATACCCACCAGAATGGCTAACATGTAAAAGACTGACAACACCCAAGAGTGAATGAAGATGTAGAAAAACAGGAACTCTTTCACATTGCTGATGGGACTATAAAAGAGTACAATCACTATGGGAAATTCTTATTAGCTAAACTGACCATTCATATACCTCAGTCATTCTTAGGTATATATTATGCTTATAACACACATACAAAAGACACCTAGAAGAATGTTGACAACAATCAAAATGGAAATAACACAAATTTCATTTACAGTAGAATACATAATGGTGTAGTCAGGGGAATACTGTACACAAATAAAATTACTGCTACATGCAACAACTTAGAAGAATAGCACAAATAGAATTTTGAGGGAAAGAAATTTGAGACAAAAGAACATGATTCCATTTATGGTTCCATTTATATAGTTTAAAAACCAGAAAAACCAACAGTTTTTGTGGTCTTCCTTGGGAAAGAGTGAAAACACAGTTGCAAGGAAGGTTTCCAGAGAGCTGGTAATGTTCTATTTCTTAATTTGGGTGGTGATTACACCAGTGTACTCACTTTACAATCATGGAGGTGAACACGTACAATTGATATATTGGCCTATATGTGCATTATACTCCAAGTAAAAAGTTAAAACAAAACAAAAAATTAAGGAGGGTACCACCCTTTGTCCTTTCCATCCTGCGGCTAAGGATGCGGATTTGATGATAAAAGCTGAAGCAGCCTCTTTACAGATGAAAGCTGGAAAATGTGGACAGCAGAGCTGCCTTCTCCACTGTGGACCTCTCATCTCTGAACTGTTACATGACAGAAACAAAATTCTACGCTGTTTGAGCTATAGGATTTGTACACCCCTTGTAAGTTTTAGACTGCACCCTAACCAGTAAATGTGAAATGTTAGCCTGAACAGAGAAAAAATATTTTTATTAATATGTAGTTCAGGGTTTTCTTTTTGGTGAGGAGGAAGGTATTACAGTTGACTTTATGCTGTAACTGCAACCCACATAAACTCCTTGGCCATAGGCTGACTTGTGTAAAAATAAAAGTACATGCTGAGTTATTATTCTTAACGATAATTAAATCCATACTACGTTCTTGGGTCAGAAAGATTTTATTGGCCTTGTTTTGTTTTTTCCACACAAGAGGTTATTGGGACAACTGGTGAATGGGATGTATGGATTGCAAGGTAATAATGTATCATGTTTTCTTCATTATAATTGGTTAACTGTAGTTATTTAAGAGAGTATTCTTGTATTTTAAGAAATATACACTTAAGAATACAGAAATAATGGGACATCATGTCTGCAACCTTTTGCCAAATGATTCAGAAAAAAATATTATCATGAGAGACAAAGAGAGAAGAAGGGAGCAAGAAAGAGAAAAAGGAAGAAAGGGAGAAAGAAGGCAATGTGGTAAACTGTCAACAAATGACTTTTTCGTACAATTCTGGCAACTTTTCTGTAAATCTGAAATTATTTCAAAGTAAGTTTTAAAAAGTCATGTTTGAAAAAATGGTATGATCTGCTTGGAAATTCATGCCTTTGAAAAACTAAATCAAACAGATCTTTACTATATACAAAATACAAAGGCGTTATAGGAAAAGAAAGAAAAATAAACAAGGTAATGCTGACCTGATTTTCAGGACAAGTTCTGCCACTAGTGACTTTAAATAAGTCAAATAAATGCTCTGAAATAAGGGCATTTAATTAAATGGTTCCTTTCCAGCCTTAAAATTCTGTAATTTTCAATTACTTCCAATGCTCACCTCCTTACATTACATTTTCAAAAAGATATGTGTTTTGTAAAATTAATTTATTTTTGTTAAATTCCAAGACCAAAGTTCATATGGTTTTTCAATAAATTGAAAAAATCAGTCTTACTCAAAATCTTATGAAGTTGGCAGCAGTCAGCATACTCACATCATATCCACAGCTCCTGGAGTAGCAGATGATGATGTCTGCTCTTTGCTGGATGAAGAATCAGTAGTACATTCTGGTTCGGATACCGAATCACTGCTGCAGGGCTCACTATTTGGAGATGCATTTCTTTGAGAGGTAGTGTCGATTGCTATAGGTGTTAATTCACCCTCATTGAATGCATCACTTATAAACAAGCCTTCATGGATTAAATAAGCCACTTCTGTGTCCAGTGAATTGTCTTTTGCAGCATTCTTCTGTTGTGAAATCTCTTCCAATTCCCTGGTCCTTCGGTTTTTGTCAAGAACTGAGAGAACAACGCTGTGAATGATATTTAACGTTGCCTATAAGAAAACAGGATATATTTTTAAAGGATTTAAAATAACATGTATCTAAAGTCCCCAAAAGTGAATTCTGCATATGTACTTTTTAAAATCTTATAAATGAGTGTCAAGGTCATGCATGTCATAATTACACCAATCTTTTATCACAGTAAAGGTGACTTTGTGAAAAAGAACTACTCAAGAGAAATGGGTTCCCTAAAGCTTAAGAATGGAGTTCTGTATTTTCATTGATTGAAGTAGCAATCTCCTGAGAGTACACTGCATATATTCTAAGTATCTTAAATGGGTTACACTAAACATAATTTGCCTACCATATATCTACTAAGGGGTTAAATAGCCACAATATATAAAGAACTCTTACAACTCAACAAAAAAATCTGATTAAAAAATGAGCAAAGAAAGTATTTCTCCAAAGAAGACATACTAATGGCCAATGAGCATACGAAAGGATGCTCAACATCACTAATCATTAGAAAAATACAAATCAAAACCAAAATGAGATACCACCTCACACCCATTCAAATGGCTACTATCAAAAAACAAAAACAAAAAACAAAACAAGAAAAACAAGTGTTAGAATATGAAGAAACTGGAGCCTTTGTGTACTGGTAAATTAAATTATGAACTTCAAATAGTTTATTCCTATAATGTGGTAAACACTAGTAAAAGCCAAAACAACCTTTTCTGATTATAAAAGTAATACCTCTCTTTGTAGAAATATTTAGGAAAAACAAAGAAATTAATAATGAATTTAAATTATACTGCCAAAAGATAACCACCAAAAAGACAAACTGTCTCTTTATTGTATGAAGATGAAGAGATAATAAATCTTTTTAACATAGCTGATCACATACTATATAAACAGGCCTATACTGTCCCTTCACTTAATGTTATAATCTACACATTTTCTTCAACATTAAAAATCCTCAGATGCATGATATTCCATGGTAATGAATATACCAGGCATAATTTACTTTACCCTTCCCTCTACTGTTAGATATCTGGGTTCTTTCCAATTTGCAGTTATTTGAAAATTCTCAATTAAAAATGAACAGCTTGGGCGCCTGGGTGGCGCAGTCGGTTAAGCGTCCGACTTCAGCCAGGTCACGATCTCGCGGTCCGTGAGTTCGAGCCCCGCGTCAGGCTCTGGGCTGATGGCTCAGAGCCTGGAGCCTGTATCCGATTCTGTGTCTCCCTCTCTCTCTGCCCCTCCCCCGTTCATGCTCTGTCTCTCTCTGTCCCAAAAATAAAAATAAACGTTGAAAAAAAAATTTTTTTAAATTTTAAATTTTAAAAAATTAAAAAAAAAATAAAAATGAACAGCTTGTAATTAACATTATTTTTCAATGAAATTATACCCTTACAGAATCACAAACTTTTTTCAAAGAAAAAAGTACCATATTTATACGTTATATATCATCTTCAAAGATGTTTTACAGAAGTATTAGCTTAAGGGGTCTAAATGTGAAAATGAGAAACTACAACTATGATAAGTCACTGTTCCCATATTGTATATATATCAAATAAAGATTTCACTTAGTTTAACTGATAGAGAACCTAAAAGTGAAATAGCTATAAAAAAATTACTGGCAAAAGATATGAAAGCAACCCAAGTGTTCATCCATAGATGAATGGATAAAGACGTGGTATATATATATATACAACGGAACATTACTCAACCATAAAAAAAGAATGAAATCTTGCCATCTGCAACAACATGGAAGAATCTAGAGGGTATAATGCTAAATGAAGTAAGTCAGAGAAAGACAAATACCATACGATTTCATTCATATGTGGAATATAAAAAACAAAACAAACAGAAAAAAAGAGAAAAAAACAGACTCATACATATAGACAACTGGTGGTTGCCAAACAGGAGAGAGGTGGGAAGAAGGGTGAAATAGGTGAAGGGGATTAAGAGTACACTTATTGTAATGAGCACTGAGTAATTTATAGAACTGCTGAATCATTATATTATACACTGGAAACTAATAGAACAGTGTATTTTAATTTTTTAATATTCATTTATTTTTGAGAGAGAGAGAGAGCACTAGTGGGGAAAGGGCAGAAAAAGAGGGAGACACAGAATCCAAAACAGGCTCCAGGCTCTGAGCTGTCAACACAGAGCCTGATGCAGGGCTCGAACTCACAAACTGTGACATCAATCATGACCTTAGCCAAAGTCAGACGCTTAACCAACTGAACCACCCAGGCGCCCCCAGAACACTGTATATTAATTATACTTAAATAAAAAAGAATACTGGCAAAAAGTTGGTCAATTCTACAATCTGCAGTGTAAGAGTTATATACATCCAGACATACAATAATAGAAGTATGTGTGATGAAGTCATGGCGGGAATATGAGAAAAAGTGAAAACGTGGCTTAGTTATTTGAGCAATCCACATCTATAGGTTTGCTATCATCACTACAAATGAGTGGGACCAACATTTTGGTAGGAGCCTAAAGTACAGTGAATCACATTTTTAAAAACTTTTCCCACTCAGAAAGGTTATACACATGACTTAGCATCACTCCAATGTTGATAAAGTCATGTCACAGATTAAGTACCAAAGTCCCCCAGGCCATTTAACAGAATACTAAGGAGATGCCAGGGATGTTAACTAGCACATGTAACACAATACTGACATCTGATAATTCAAAGAATAGCAAATTTCACAACCTGTTACATTCAGTAATTCCTAAGCATTGTCTTATTAAAACACAGCTGTGACATGTTAGTGATTCTAACTACAATGCATTAGTCTGTGACATCTTTTCTTCTGAAAAATGCTCTGTGGCATATGTTCTTTTCCTTATATTGACTGGTTTAAAATTAAGTGATTATACTGAAGAGACAGAATAATTAAATATAAATGCATAATCCTTGATCGGACCTCAGATTAAAAAGTAAAATAAAAGCCTGCAAAATAAAGGACATTAGTAGAGCAATTTAAATATGAATTATATGTTAAAAAATGCTGTTGGGGCGGCTGGGTGGCTCAGTCGGTTAAGCCTGACTTTGGCTCAGGTCATGATCTCACAGTTCATGAGTTCAAGCCCTGCGTCAGGATCTGTGCTGACAGCTCAGAGCCTGGAGCCTGCTTCAGATTCTGTGTCTCCCTCTCTCTCTGCCCCTCCCCTGCTCACACACTGTCTCTCTCTCTCTCTCTCTCTCAAAAATAAATAAACATTAAAAAAATTTTTTTAAAAATACCATTATATCAGGATTAAAGATTTCTAGAAAACATTAGTGGTTTAGAACAGATTTTTGAGTGTTTCACATATTGTGCCTATAGATAATCTAGAGAGATTCAAAAATCACAAAATCATAAGAGGAAGTATTATTTTATAATATTTAATGCCAAGTAAGCACTATATTTTTTAATACAAAACTTATCCTAAATTATAGAGTATCAAAATACTCTGAAGCACTTCAAATCTTATTTGAAACCAAGGCTCTTTAGAGAAATTACAAAAACAGGGGTGCCTGGGTGGTCAGTCAGTTCAATGGCTCATTCTTGATTTTGGCTCAGGTCATGATACCACAGTTCATGAGACTGAGCTCTGCATTGGGCTGTGTGCTGACAGCATGGAGCCTGCTTGGGATTCCCTCTCTCTGCCCCTTCCCCACCCCCTGTCAAAATAAACAAAAAAATTACAAAAAACAAAGAAATTATGTTTTTCTAATCTGATTCTATATGTATATATCTAGAAAGTGGACTTAATTTTAGTGATATTCTGGATAAACTGAAAATCACATAAACTTACCTTAACTCTTTGTAGGAAAATTGTAAACTTAGAGAAAATGTCCTTCAGCAGATCAAACCACTGAGGAAAATTCAACATTCTCATCTGATCTGCAAGCCTAGAAAAAAAAAAATTCAAAGAAAAAAATATTTGTCTTTGGGCACTTAGGAGTTTATTCTCAAAAGATACTTCTATATTTGCAATACAGGAATTTTTCTATTTGAGAAAATTTCCTAGGGAATAAAATTTAAAATAACTGACTCTCCAGGTCCATAGAGCTTTTAACAGAATACCACTAACTTAATTTTTCCAACTACTAGTGATTCCTGCATTGTTACAGTTGCTTCAACTAATTCTGAAACAGAGTTTTCACTAGGTAATAGTGTAGAAATTAAAACCCCTCAATCCTTATTCTATGAATTTGGCCTGGAAAAATTTCACAGTGATTCATATTGCTATTCATATCTTGGGCCACTTAATAAATAGAGTTTAGATATCTATATGAACTAGAAATTCAGTTATAAAATATTTATCACCAATCTCAAAATGAAAAAAAATAGGAATTTAAAGGGCAAAAACAAAAAATTACAGGCATGAGGCAATTCAAAATCATGTACTCAAATTCCTCAAAGTCAATTAGAAGCTGGGTTTTAATCAGATAGCTAAATAATTTAAACATAACACTGTGATTCCTCTGAAATGGACCATCTTCAATTTCTCTCCTCCATACCTACCTTGTAGCCTCTTGCCCTGGGAGGTTGACCTGCTGGGCGTGGCCAAGGAGGAGCCCTTATAAAACACTGGAAGGAAGAAAGGTACTGATAGCTCCACCTCCCTCCCTGAGAGGTTGTCTCAGGAAGACTGCCTCCAGCACTGCAGATCACTTCAACTACTACAGGCCTTTTTTTTTCCTACTACTAAGTGGCCTTCTCCTGAATCCTACTGTTCTCATCTCTTGTCCCTTAAAGGTACTGCACTGTCACTTGTGATTTTTCTACACTCTGCCCATACCTTAGTAAATAATTCCTTAATTAAATCCTCCTCAGATTATTCTAATGTGTCATCTTTTCCCTAACTGATAACTCCCAACGTAATATTTATACTTACTTCACAATAACATCTGTGTCAATTTCTTCTATTTGTGAAACTTTATTAATCACACACTGCAAATTTTAAGAAAAAAATTCAATTAACATCTTTAGAATTCTAAGTACCTCATGGTTCATTTACATATTAAAAATGGCTTCCACGGGAAAAAAAAAAAAAATGACCTCAATGACTACGATCATTTTACCAGACGTCTCTTGTGTCTTTTATACACACGTCAAGGTGTATAAAACACTGTAGCATTATATCCTTACCCTATTAAATAATTATTCCAGGATATGCTTGAACTGTTATATTAACTAAAATCCCTTACTATTTAAAACTATTCAAAACCACACACCAAACAAACAGAACAACACCCAGAACCATAATTCTTAGGAATAAGGTATAAGCCCCATATTAAAATTCCAAAAAAAAGTTCATTTTGGAGGTTATGTTTTCTTGCAATATATGTAACAGATTAAGTTAAAAAAATGCTTAGACTTCAGGAGAATCCTGGGAATTACAACACAGCAGTTTCATAAAATTTGTTTAGAAGTATCACATACATATATAAAACTACACAAATTATGTTCAAATCTATTTTTACAAATGGAGTACACTTATGTAATGAAAACTCGGATCATGAAATTAAACACTGCCAGTAAACACCTCTCTTGCTTCCCTTCTAGTCACTATTTTCTCCGAAAAGATACTATCGTGATTTTTAATACCACAGATTAATTCTAATATCATAGATTAATTACAAAAGTGTGTCTCCTTTGTGACTCCTTTGTGTTTGGTTTATTTGGCTCCACATTATATATGTGATATTCATCCATTTGTTCCATGTGATTTATTCATTCTCATTGCTGTACAGTATTCATACAAATATACCACAACTCGATCATTTTTTTTTTTTTTTTTACTGATGACAGAATTTGGGTTTTTCAAAGAAAAAAAAAGAAAAATCTGGGTTTTTCCAGTTTTTATTACAAATAGTGCTGCCATGAAATATTATGCTGTTTTGGTAAATTTATATATGCATTTCTGCTGATAAATACCTGGCAGTAGAATTGCTGAGTTACAATATATGTGTACATTTAGTGCTAGTAGCTATTGCCAACAATTTTTGAAAGTGGTCATAACAATTTTAAAATATAGTGTTTTAGTATTCAAAAGAAGTAAAAAAGGTGGTATGATTACTAATCTTTTTTTGCTTGTTTTATTTAAACATTAAAAACTCAGAAATGTACATTCAACCTGATGATGATCATTAAGCCTAATAAGTATATTTAAAATTATTGTTTCTCATATTTAGAAAAACTGAAGTTTAATGTTTAATATTTATCAGAGTAAAACAGCAAAACAAAGATGAGACTGAAAAAGGTTTTAGTTTACAATAATAATTTCTTAAAGATAAGGATAAGAGGAAATAAACATTTACCTACTGCAGGTGAGAATGTATTTGGTAAAATCTTTTTAGAAAGCAATTCAACTCTATCAAATAGCTTTAAAAATACTTTTCACTCTCTGACCAATAATTCCACATCTAGAAATCAGCTATAAGAAAATAGTCTTAACTATGGAAAAACCCAACAAAACTTTACACCAAATATGTGTGTCACAGTGTTCTACAGTACCGAACTGAAAAAATGTAAATATTCAACACAGAGGAAAGGCATAACTAATAAAATGTGGATAGGATTTTATACAACCATCAAAAATGATGTGTCTGAAGGCTTATAAGAGAAAATGCTTATGTTATGATTCTGAAATATATGTACAATTCACAATCATATATACAGTATGATAGCAACAATGAAAAACATCAGTAACAATTTACACTTAGAATTACACTTAAAAATACTTTTTTTTTTAAGAGAGAGAGAGAACACACACACACACACACACAAACACACACACACAAGCTGAGGGGAGGGGCATGAGGGAGAGAGAGAAAATCTTAAGCATGTTCCACGCTCAGCACAGATCCCAATGTGGGGCTTGATTCCATGACCCTGGGGTTTGATCTCATTGTCCTGGGATCACACGACATGAGCCGAAATCAAGAGTCAGATGTTCAACCGACTGAGCGACCCAGATCCCCCTACACTTAGAAATATTCTTAAAGTGATAATCTTTTGGCTAGTAGGTCTATTTTTTCTTCTATTTTTCTATATTCTAAGTTTTTAAATAAATGAGAAAATGTTACTATTATACTGCATATATATTATTACTAGATCATGTAAAAATAAATTTGATAAAAAGATTCTAGGGGCACCTGGGTGGCTCAGTCAGTTAAGCATTGACTCTTGACTTCATGGTCTTGCAATTCATGAGTTCAAACCCCACATAGGGCTCTGCACTGACAGTGTGGAGCCTGCTTCGGATTCTGTCTCCTTTGCTCTCTGCCCCTCCCCCACTCATGCTTTCTCACTCTCGAAAAATAAACATTAAAAAAATTAAAAAAAAAGATTCTAGACCAAAATATATAAAATAAAAATGTATATTTACCTGTTTAATGATATTCTTTGCTGTAATAATCATTTCTTCACTATAGATTTCTAAAAAATTAAGTTTTCTTTGTTTTAAAAGTCCAAATACAAGAGATACAAGTCTTTCCTATTAAAATAAAAGTATGGAATTTCACAATTTAAATATAGAATAATGTCACTCAGAAGTAGAAATATTCAACATCAAGCGTTTCATTATTTGATCCTCAGATCTCTATCCTGCACATGGTATTTTCTAGAAGCCCCCAAAAACCCCTTCTACAGCTATCTTGTCATCAGATTATTGGAGTCATAGTTTTAAAAACAGATAAATCCTAATGCACTACAGTGGATCAAATGAAGCTGTCTTGGGGACAAAACAATATGAGTACATTTTAGCATAGTTTCAACAAGTAGGTAGAAAGTATCCTTCTCAAATCCTGATGACCTGGAAAATTTGTGGGGAATTAACTGCTAACACATACAAAAATCTCTTTACTTAGGCTGCTATCAGGGCTTCTGGATCCTTTCCTAGTTCTTGGTGGTAATCAGCATTGAACAGTCAGCAGATAAGTGAAGCCTGGATCTTATGTATAAGCATATGCATAAAACATGTTCATAACAGGGGTTCAGTGACTGTTAATGACTGATAAGTTACTATATAATAATGATCACTTTTATAACAAACATACTCCAGTACATGCATACACATGGATATATGTTAATTCATCCTATATCTATATTTTAAGCTTGGTTTATAAGATATATATAAGACCTCATTTTAAATCCAATTTCTAATTAAGCTATAAAGTTACTTTATTCTCTAACTTCATAGGATAATGAACAATTATGGTGCTTGCTAAAATCACATAGTTAGGGAAGGACTTCACAGAGGTCTGACTTGAGCTTGAAATTTTTTTTGCTCATTATAATCTGAGAAGAATGTGTTCTAAACTAATACTATTAGGAATTAACACTAAGCAATGACACCAATTTCATCCACAGTTTAAGACACGTACCTCTTCTAAAATTTGACAGTCATCATCCAGTGGTCTGTTTAAGTCACTATGAGAATAAGTAGAAAACTCTGCAATCATCATTTTATCTATCAGTTTTTCCAATTCACAAAGTTGTGATCCCAAATGCCTACAAAGGAAGAGGAAAATGTGACGTATATTCTTTAAAAACCCAAATTCGCTCCACAGTCAAGGAAACTAGTAGGCAAAACTTTTCTAGCAGCAGTATTTTGTGCAACAATGTAATGTAAAATGAAATCCTTTAACAAAAATAACTGCAACAGTTTCACATCATCTCCCATATTCTTTTTCTTTTTACATGTTTAACCTCCAAACACCTAAATGTGTTGTAGGACACATAGTTCTAGAAATTTCATGACTGCTTTTTTTGTCCGCTTTTCACAGACAAAATATTCAGCTATTCTAAGTCCTTTCCTAATTAACCATTTACTGCATGGCAATGCCAGTAGCTCCCCAGCCATTCATTTATTCCACAAATACAAATACAAGTGCCTACTACAGCCCTGTCAGGAAGATATAAATACCTAACGGATCACATGGACAGACTGACTCAATTCAATCTCTGTTATGAATAGTCTGAGTTACTGTGCAATCTCCCCCAGGTTTTATACTGAAAGTCAGAACACAAAACTGAAAATACAAAACTGCTAAGAAACAGTATATCCATGGAACTTTTTCTCATAAAATATAATGTTCCTTTTTAATCTACCTCTAATATTTATAGATCCTACATAGGATAAGAGTAAGAAGGACTCTAATCAGATGAGCAGTTGTGGGGATGGTGAAGGCAAATACTGCGAACAGGATTTGGAACCAATTCCCTAAAGAAAGCATGCAGCAACCAAATGACAAGATTGATGCATGTAGTCTGCTCACCAGGGAACTAAGGATCACTACCTTCACATACAAAGAGATCTTTACTATACAAACTAAAAGCTTCATAAAAACAATGAATTAAAGAAAACTAGGTGATGTAGTTGGCCAAAGTATTTCAAAAATTAAGTGAAATGGGCCAACGAGAAATCTGTTTATATATTATATAAAAAAATTTAAGCTCTATTTTTGGTATAATTTCAAAATATGTATATTTAAATGTCTAAATTTAAAATTTACCTTAAATTTAGACATTTGTTATTGAATAAAAAACATTTAAAAATACATATACTCACCATTTACTTGAAAAACTAATGTCAGCAACTATCTTTACTAATACCAGATACAGCACATTTTTTAAAAACTAGTATAAACTATGTGACCTTTGGGGCGCCTGGGTGGTTCAGGTGGTTAAGCATCCAACTATGGCTCAGGTCATCATCTCATGGTTCCTGAGTTCTAGCCCATGTAGGGCTCTGTGCTGACAGCTCAGAGCCTGGAGCCTGCTTCGGATTCTGTGTCTCCCTCTCTCTCTGCCCCTCCCCCATATGTGCTCTTTCTCTCTCTCTCAAAAATAAACATTAAAAAATTTTTAAATAAATAAAACAAACTATGTGACCTTTTAGATAGATCCATTTTTCTCATCTAAACAACATATGGTAAGCAGTGTAGTGATAATTTTGAAAAAAATCCAATGGTGAAATAATGTATATATCTGCATTTTGTAATATGAAAATTATATTTCTCAGAGCCAATTAGAAGATAGTAAGATTCTCATAAATGACACCAGTGTCTCACAATAAGCTAACTTAGAACATATTCACTAGTACAAACTAAAACACTGCCATAAGCAAGTTTGGCAATGTCTAGCAAATTACATAGGCATTTAACCTTTGACCTGGGAATCTCACTTCTCAGTATCTGTCTCAAAGATACACTCTTAAAAATACAAAAGAACATATACGTTCATTGCAGCACTGTCCGTAATTGCAAAGGAATACAAACTACTCAAATGCTGAAAAACAGAGGGCTAGTTGACTATATTGTAATAGACACTATACACTTTTAAAATAATTGAGGAATACCAAGTAATATACTATATACTGCTACAGTTTCTCAGTCTTCTTTTTTTCAGTATTGCCCCAAGAAGTCCTTTTAGACCTTTTTATTCCTAATCACCACCACCAACCCCCACACACTAATATCACATATATACTGTATATCTGTTTATATACCTTGGCCCCCTGGAGGGTCACAAGTCATTATAATATCCAAGTTTTTCTTTCACCCTCAAGAACCAACTCTTGCCCCCTTAAGGTGATAGCCTCCCACTGAGAATACACACTGTAGAGTGATCTCCAGGGTATACTGTAAGGTTAAAACAGCAAGGTGGAGAAAAGTATACACAATTTACTAATGCTTATCTAAGATGAAGAACAAAGACAGAGATGGCTGGATGGATGATGGATAAGTACAAACTAAAACATTTTAAAAGGGTGACTTATAGGGTAGGTAGGAAGGAAGGAACAAGATAGAAATTAAATTTTTCTGAATATCATTTGTTTCAGAGATTTGACTCAGAACCACATAACTACTTAACATAGTTATAGTACAAGATTACATTTAATAAATTCAATCCTTAAATATCAAAAGCAATGAAACAAATGTATTTAAATACACATCAAGTTAGCAGCAAATGTACACAAAGAAGAATTATTTCAAGTGACTTTAAAACGTAATGTACCTATTCATCCCACCAGGATATAGCTTAAAGAAGAGAAAGAAATCCTCCATGTTTGTAGTAATAATACTGTTAGTTCTGAGAGCATTCTATGTAGACTGTGGGATAAAATAAATGAGTAATTATGTTAGTGTCATCGAGAGCCACAGTTTTCACCTTCAGCCTGTTTTAAAGGACTTACATATATAAGATTAAAAAAGTAAAATCTTTATGGTCCTGAATTTAAATTAGGACTATCAATATGAACTCCTACTTTTTCTTTAAAAAGAAAAATCTATTTTCTAGCTCTGTCCACTACAAAGGTCTAGAGATAATGACCAATCCAGTAGCAAGGAATATCTCTGGTATCCAGAGCATAATTTCTCAATAGCATTTCCTACTGAAAGAAACAAATTTATTTCCACTAGAAATATAGTGGATTATAAGTCTGGGGGAAAAAATGTATGATATGAACATCTAATCATAACACAAAGTAAGAAAATTATTAAGCAAAAGCTCATGGAATTATGTAAAAGGCCACAAGAATGAACCTGAGGAGATTTCTACAAAAGACAGAACATTATGAACACTGACAAAAATAAAAACAGCAAAAATCTTAAATATATACAAATCCACATGCTTACAAAAATATTTTTAAATCATCAGTTAACTTTGGAAGAGACAAGATTTTCAATTTGTTACTTTTAAAACAGCTAAATGAAAAAAATAAAGGAATCTAGAATTTATTCTGCCTCTCCTTATAAGAGCTGTCCTTCAGATTTACCAAATAATTATGGAGAACTATCACTTTACAGAAACATTCTGAGTAAAAAATGAATAAGGAAGTACAGAATCATAATATCATTATAGGTAGCCCATGAGATGTTGAATCATAATATAGTTCAATGTTGAAATTTTTGAGGAATCTCCATACTGTTTTCCAGAGTGGCTGTACCAGTCTGCATTTCCACCAACAGTGCAAGAGGTTTCCTTCTCCACATCTTCACAAACATCTGTTGTTTCCTGAGTTAATTTTAGCCACTATGACCGGTATGAGGTGGTATCTCAATGTGGTTTTGATTTGTATTCCCCTGATGATGAGCGATACTGAGCATCTTTTCATTTGTCTGTTAGCCATCTGGATGTCTTCTTTGGAAAAGTGTCTATTCATGTCTTCTGCCCATGTCTTCACTGGATTATTTGTTTGGGGGATGTTTGATTAACTCTTTATACATTTTGGATACAAACCTTTTATCACATATGTCACTTACAAATATCTTCTCCCATTCCAAAGGCTGCCTTTTAGTTTTGTTGATTGCTTCCTTCACTGTGCAGACTTTTATTTTGATGTGTCCCTATCGTTTATTTTTGCTTTTGTTTCCCTTGCCTCAGGAGATGATTCCAGTAAGAAGTTGCTACAACTGAAGTCAGAGAGGTTACTGCATGTGTTCTCTTCTAGGATTTTGATGGTTTCCTGTCTCACATTTAGGTGCTTCGTCTATTCTGAATTCATTTTGTGTACGATATAAGTGGTCCAGTTTCATTCTTTTACATGTTATTGTCCAGTTTCTCCAACACCATTTGTTGAAGAGGCTTTTTTTCCATTGGCCATTCTTTCCTGCTTTGTCGAAGATTAGTTGACCATATAGTTGTAGGTCCATTACTGAGTTTTCTATTCTGTTCTATTGACCCTTGTGCCTGTTTTTGTGCTAGTATCATACTGTCTTGATCATGACAGCTTTGTAATAGAACTTGAAGTTTGGAATTGTGATGCCTCCAGCTTTACTTTGCTTTTTCAAGATTGCTTTGGCTATTCCAGCTCTTTTCTGGTTCCAAATTTTTGGATTGTTTGTTCCAGCTCTATGAAAACTACTGGTGGTATTTTTATAGAGATTACATTAATTGTGTAGACTGCTTTGAGTAATAAGGACATTTTAACAATATTTGTTTTTCTAATACATGAACATGGAATGTTTTTTCCATTTCTTTGTGTTCTCTTCAATTCCTTTCATAAATGTTCTATAATTTTCAGAGTGCAGATCTTTTTACCTCTGTATTCCTAGGTATCTTACGGTTTTTGGTGCAATTGTAAATGGGATTGATTCCTCGATTTCTCTTTCTGCTGCTTCATTACTGGTGTATAAAAATGCAACAGATTTCTGTATGTTGATTTTATATCCTATGACTTAGCTGAATTCATGTATCAGTTCCAATAATTTTTTGGTGGAGTCTTTTCGATTTTCTACATGGAGTATCATGTTGTCTGTGAACAATGAAAGTTTGACTTCTTCCTTGACAATTTGAATGTATTTTATTTCTTTTTGTTGTCTGATTGCTGAGGCTAGGACTTCCAGTACTCTGTTAAATAATCATGTTGAGCCTGGACGCCCCCATCTTGTTCTCTCAATTTTTACCTACTGAGGATGATATTAGATGTGTGTCTTTCGTTTTGGCCTTTATGATGATGAAGTACATTCCTTCTATCCTTCTTTGTTGAAGATTTTTTATCAAGAATG